TCGCTTTGAGTCGGCTCAAAAGTCAACTCGTTTTGAGTCGGCTCAAAAGTCAACTCGTTTTGAGTCGGCTCAAAAGTCAACTCGTTTTGAGTCGGCTCAAAAGTCAACTGGTTTTGAGTCGGCTCAAAAGTCAACTGGTTTTGAGCCGGCTCAAAAGTCAACTGGTTTTGAGTCGGCTCAAAAGTCAACTCGTTTTGAGTCGGCTCAAAAGTCAACTCGATTTGAGTCGGCTCAAAAGTCAACTGGTTTTGAGCCGGCTCAAAAGTCAACTCGTTTTGAGTCGGCTCGAAAGTCAACTCGTTTTGAGTCGGCTCAAAAGTCAACTCGGTTTGAGTCAGCTCAAAAGTCAACTTGCTTTGAGTCAGCTCAAAAGTCAACTCGTTTTGAGTCGGCTCAAAAGTCAACTCGTTTTGAGTCGGCTCAAAAGTCAACTCGTGTTGAGTCGGCTCAAAAGTCAACTCGTTTTGAGTCGGCTCAAAAGTCAACTCGTTTTGAGTCGGCTCGAAAGTCAACTCGTTTTGAGTCGGCTCGAAAGTCAACTCGTTTTGAGTCGGCTCGAAAGTCAACTCGTTTTGAGTCGGCTCGCAAGTCAACTCGTTTTGAGTCGGCTCAAAAGTCAACTCGTTTTGAGTCGGCTCAAAAGTCAACTCGTTTTGAGTCGGCTCAAAAGTCAACTCGTTTTGAGTCGGCTCAAAAGTCAACTCGTTTTGAGTCGGCTCAAAAGTCAACTCGTTTTGAGTCGGCTCAAAAGTCAACTCGTTTTGAGTCGGCTCAAAAGTCAACTGGTTTTGAGTCGGCTCAAAAGTCAACTCGTTTTGAGTCGGCTCAAAAGTCAACTGGTTTTGAGTCGGCTCAAAAGTCAACTCGTTTTGAGTCGGCTCAAAAGTCAACTCGTTTTGAGTCGGCTCAAAAGTCAACTGGTTTTGAGCCGGCTCAAAAGTCAACTGGTTTTGAGTCGGCTCAAAAGTCAACTCGTTTTGAGTCGGCTCAAAAGTCAACTCGATTTGAGTCGGCTCAAAAGTCAACTGGTTTTGAGCCGGCTCAAAAGTCAACTCGTTTTGAGTCGGCTCGAAAGTCAACTCGTTTTGAGTCGGCTCAAAAGTCAACTCGGTTTGAGTCAGCTCAAAAGTCAACTTGCTTTGAGTCAGCTCAAAAGTCAACTCGTTTTGAGTCGGCTCAAAAGTCAACTCGTTTTGAGTCGGCTCAAAAGTCAACTCGTGTTGAGTCGGCTCAAAAGTCAACTCGTTTTGAGTCGGCTCAAAAGTCAACTCGTTTTGAGTCGGCTCGAAAGTCAACTCGTTTTGAGTCGGCTCGAAAGTCAACTCGTTTTGAGTCGGCTCGAAAGTCAACTCGTTTTGAGTCGGCTCGCAAGTCAACTCGTTTTGAGTCGGCTCAAAAGTCAACTCGTTTTGAGTCGGCTCAAAAGTCAACTCGTTTTGAGTCGGCTCAAAAGTCAACTCGTTTTGAGTCGGCTCAAAAGTCAACTCGTTTTGAGTCGGCTCAAAAGTCAACTCGTTTTGAGTCGGCTCAAAAGTCAACTCGTTTTGAGTCGGCTCAAAAGTCAACTGGTTTTGAGTCGGCTCAAAAGTCAACTGGTTTTGAGTCGGCTCAAAAGTCAACTGGTTTTGAGTCGGCTCAAAAGTCAACTCGTTTTGAGTCGGCTCAAAAGTCAACTCGTTTTGAGTCGGCTCAAAAGTCAACTGGTTTTGAGCCGGCTCAAAAGTCAACTGGTTTTGAGTCGGCTCAAAAGTCAACTCGTTTTGAGTCGGCTCAAAAGTCAACTCGATTTGAGTCGGCTCAAAAGTCAACTGGTTTTGAGCCGGCTCAAAAGTCAACTCGTTTTGAGTCGGCTCGAAAGTCAACTCGTTTTGAGTCGGCTCAAAAGTCAACTCGGTTTGAGTCAGCTCAAAAGTCAACTTGCTTTGAGTCAGCTCAAAAGTCAACTCGTTTTGAGTCGGCTCAAAAGTCAACTCGTTTTGAGTCGGCTCAAAAGTCAACTCGTGTTGAGTCGGCTCAAAAGTCAACTCGTTTTGAGTCGGCTCAAAAGTCAACTCGTTTTGAGTCGGCTCGAAAGTCAACTCGTTTTGAGTCGGCTCGAAAGTCAACTCGTTTTGAGTCGGCTCGAAAGTCAACTCGTTTTGAGTCGGCTCGCAAGTCAACTCGTTTTGAGTCGGCTCAAAAGTCAACTCGTTTTGAGTCGGCTCAAAAGTCAACTCGTTTTGAGTCGGCTCAAAAGTCAACTCGTTTTGAGTCGGCTCAAAAGTCAACTCGTTTTGAGTCGGCTCAAAAGTCAACTCGTTTTGAGTCGGCTCAAAAGTCAACTCGTTTTGAGTCGGCTCAAAAGTCAACTGGTTTTGAGTCGGCTCAAAAGTCAACTGGTTTTGAGCCGGCTCAAAAGTCAACTGGTTTTGAGTCGGCTCAAAAGTCAACTCGTTTTGAGTCGGCTCAAAAGTCAACTCGATTTGAGTCGGCTCAAAAGTCAACTGGTTTTGAGCCGGCTCAAAAGTCAACTCGTTTTGAGTCGGCTCGAAAGTCAACTCGTTTTGAGTCGGCTCAAAAGTCAACTCGGTTTGAGTCAGCTCAAAAGTCAACTTGCTTTGAGTCAGCTCAAAAGTCAACTCGTTTTGAGTCGGCTCAAAAGTCAACTCGTTTTGAGTCGGCTCAAAAGTCAACTCGTGTTGAGTCGGCTCAAAAGTCAACTCGTTTTGAGTCGGCTCAAAAGTCAACTCGTTTTGAGTCGGCTCGAAAGTCAACTCGTTTTGAGTCGGCTCGAAAGTCAACTCGTTTTGAGTCGGCTCGAAAGTCAACTCGTTTTGAGTCGGCTCGCAAGTCAACTCGTTTTGAGTCGGCTCAAAAGTCAACTCGTTTTGAGTCGGCTCAAAAGTCAACTCGTTTTGAGTCGGCTCAAAAGTCAACTCGTTTTGAGTCGGCTCAAAAGTCAACTCGTTTTGAGTCGGCTCAAAAGTCAACTCGTTTTGAGTCGGCTCAAAAGTCAACTCGTTTTGAGTCGGCTCAAAAGTCAACTGGTTTTGAGTCGGCTCAAAAGTCAACTGGTTTTGAGTCGGCTCAAAAGTCAACTGGTTTTGAGTCGGCTCAAAAGTCAACTCGTTTTGAGTCGGCTCAAAAGTCAACTCGTTTTGAGTCGGCTCAAAAGTCAACTGGTTTTGAGCCGGCTCAAAAGTCAACTCGTTTTGAGTCGGCTCGAAAGTCAACTCGTTTTGAGTCGGCTCAAAAGTCAACTCGGTTTGAGTCAGCTCAAAAGTCAACTTGCTTTGAGTCAGCTCAAAAGTCAACTCGTTTTGAGTCGGCTCAAAAGTCAACTCGTTTTGAGTCGGCTCAAAAGTCAACTCGTGTTGAGTCGGCTCAAAAGTCAACTCGTTTTGAGTCAGCTCAAAAGTCAACTCGTTTTGAGTCGGCTCGAAAGTCAACTCGTTTTGAGTCGGCTCGAAAGTCAACTCGTTTTGAGTCGGCTCGAAAGTCAACTCGTTTTGAGTCGGCTCGCAAGTCAACTCGTTTTGAGTCGGCTCAAAAGTCAACTCGTTTTGAGTCGGCTCAAAAGTCAACTCGTTTTGAGTCGGCTCAAAAGTCAACTCGTTTTGAGTCGGCTCAAAAGTCAACTCGTTTTGAGTCGGCTCAAAAGTCAACTCGTTTTGAGTCGGCTCAAAAGTCAACTCGTTTTGAGTCGGCTCAAAAGTCAACTGGTTTTGAGTCGGCTCAAAAGTCAACTGGTTTTGAGTCGGCTCAAAAGTCAACTGGTTTTGAGTCGGCTCAAAAGTCAACTCGTTTTGAGTCGGCTCAAAAGTCAACTCGTTTTGAGTCGGCTCAAAAGTCAACTGGTTTTGAGCCGGCTCAAAAGTCAACTCGTTTTGAGTCGGCTCGAAAGTCAACTCGTTTTGAGTCGGCTCAAAAGTCAACTCGGTTTGAGTCAGCTTAAAAGTCAACTTGCTTTGAGTCAGCTCAGAAGTCAACTCGTTTTGAGTCGGCTCAAAAGTCAACTCGTTTTGAGTCGGCTCGCAAGTCAACTCGTGTTGAGTCGGCTCAAAAGTCAACTCGTTTTGAGTCGGCTCAAAGTCAACTCGTTTTAAGTCGGCTCGAAAGTCAACTCGTTTTGAGTCGGCTTGAAAGTCAACTCGTTTTGAGTCGGCTCGCAAGTCAACTCGTTTTGAGTCGGCTCGCAAGTCAACTCGTTTTGAGTCGGCTCAAAAGTCAACTCGTTTTGAGTCGGCTCAAAAGTCAACTCGTTTTGAGTCGGCTCAAAAGTCAACTCGTTTTGAGTCGGCTCAAAAGTCAACTCGTTTTGAGTCGGCTCAAAAGTCAACTCGCTTTGAGTCGGCTCAAAAGTGAATCCATACAAGGAGCGGAGGGGTTTGCATTGCAATGTCAAAGCTGGTGGGATGGATGGGCTGGATGAATGGGTGGAGGAAGAAGGTGAGTGGGGGATACAGAAGTGGAGAAAAAAAGGGGGGAAGAAGGGAGGGGGGAGAGCGGATGGGGAGAGGGGGGTGGGGAAATGACGGCTGCATAGTGAAAACAGGGAGAGGCAAGGAAGTGCGTTTATCACACGGCACACACATGCGACTGAGAGACTCTCTCAACTCTCGCGTCATCAGTGGCGACCATGGCAAAGGGCACAATGATGGTGTTGAGGAGAGGAGGAGGAGGAGGAGGAGGAGGAGGAGGAGGAGGAGGAGGAAAGGCAACAATGTGTTGAGGGCCACAGCTGATCGGTTGAGTCGAGACTGTCTAGACTCACGCGTCGTCAGCGGCGACCATGGCAAAGCGCACAATGATGGCGTTGAGGCGAGCAGGCGGAGGAGGAGAGATGGAGATGGAGTTGGGAGCACAGGTAAGCCAATGGCGGTGGGACTCACGCATCATCAGCGGCGACCATGGCAAAGGGCACAATGAATGATGGCGTTGAGCTTCGCTGCCACCATCCCCAGTGCCTCCTGTGCCTCTGGTCCCACTAGGGCACAACCCGAGAGACTCTCTACACTCACGCGTCGTCAGCGCCGACCATGGCAAAGGGCACAATGATGGCGTTGAGCTTCGCTGCCATGCGCATCATGCCACCGTCGCCACTGCCGCCGCTGCTGCCTCTGTTGCCCTCGCCAATTCCCCACCTCAGCTGATACCTCTCACCCTGCCTCGACGGGATGGAGAAAGGGGATGGAGGAATGAAGAGAGGGTGTTGGCGGTTGTGGCGGCGCCATCCGCTTGGCCCTGCCTGGATGCGCCTCTGTCATCAGACGCAGCCTCTGCCTTTCAGTCAAGCTTGCTGCGGTTCGAAGCCTTTCAACTCGGCGCCATCCTCTTGGCCCTGCCTGGATGCGCCTCTGTCATTCATCCCTCATGCCATGGAGAGTAGAAAAAAGATTCGAGCCTCAGCAAGCCGTGGGTGATTCAGCTGCGGTTTGAAACCCTTTTCTACTCTGTCATTCATCCCTCGTGCCATTAGCTCAGGCAAACGGGTGCAAGCAGGTAATTCAGAATAGAACAACCCTCAAATGAAAGGAGGGAGATTAATCTCATGCTTGTGCTAGGCCTGACCCCCTCAACCATGAAGCCACCGTGACAGACTCCCCACCACTCTTCTTCTGGCTTCTCCTCATCCTGCTTCCCCTCTCCCCTCCCCTCACCTCCCTCCCTCCCCTCCCCTCACCTCCTACCCTCCCCTCCCCTCCCTCCCTCCCTCCCCTCCCCTCCTTCCCCTAACCTCCCTTCCCTCCCCCATCTCTTCTCCTCTCTCCTTCCTTTCCTCCTCCATCTTTTCTTCCCTCCCTGCACCTCCCTTCCCCGTCCCTCTTCCCTCCCGCACCTTGAGGCGGCACGTCTCTTTGGAGCCCCCAGGGAACACTAGCGCGGGCCCCCCCTCCTGACAGGACCACAAAGAGGCACATGGGAGTGAGTGGCAAGGGGAAGGAGAATGTGAGAGGGGAAGTGCAGTGAGGTGGGAGGGTGGGGGTGGGGCATGTTTCTTTGGAGTCCCCAGGGAACACCAGCACAGGCCCTCCCTCCTGACAGGTGAGTGAGGGTCCCAATGAGGCACATGGGAGTGGGTGGTGGGGCGATGAGGCACATGGGAGTGGGTGGTGGGGCGATGAGGCACATGGGAGTGGGTGGTGGGGCGATGAGGCACATGGGAGTGGGTGGTGGGGCGATGAGGCACATGGGAGTGGGTGGTGGGGCGATGAGGCACATGGGAGTGGGTGGTGGGGCGATGAGGCACATGGGAGTGGGTGGTGGGGCGATGAGGCACATGGGAGTGGGTGGCGAGGGGAAGGAAGAAGATGAGGGGTTGTGTTTCGAGTCGAGTAAAAACCTCCTGGCTACACGAGCACGTGCCTGCCCGCCTGATGGGTTGGGTCCCAACGAGGCACATGGCAGTGCGTGGCGGAGGGGGAGGAGAGAGTTGAGGGGACAAAGACTGTTGAGGGGACAAACACTGCTGAGGGGACAAAGACTGTTGAGGGGACAGACACTGCTGAGGGGACAAACACTGCTGAGGCGGGAGGTGGGGGGTGGAAACAGCAGCGCGGACACGGTCGAGTCTTTGAGTTTACTAAAGAGCACAGTCCAGAACGTACGATCTCTATCGACTTGACAGGATTATTGAGTCGACTAAAAAACACAGTCGAGCCAGAACGTACGATCTCTATGGACTCGACTGGATTCCGACCCGACCCACAATGTAGTCTTTCATTCTGTAATCCTACGGTGCTGACAAAGGCCTCACGGCGGAACGCACATTTGCTATGCGCAGGTCACTTAGCGGAACATTTTTTCGAGGCGCCCCAAAAATAGTCAGCTTGAGCACACTAGTAAGGGCAGCAAATTACCTTTGGGGTGCATCAAGAGCAAAATATGAAGAATGACAAGTTACTTTCGAGATGACTTTTGGGGCGCCTCAAGAGTCAAGAGCACACTGTGAAGAGCAACAACGTACTTTGAGCAGCTCGTATAAGGCACGGGGCGACGCCTTGACATGACCAAAGCTGCAAGCGAGTGGAGATGGGATGGCATGGGTGGGATGAGATGGCATGGTTGGGAAGAGATGGCATGGTTGGGAAGAGATGGCATGTGTGGTACGGATGGTATCTCCTCACGTAACACATCACCTTACCTCGCCTCAGTTTTCCACACCTCGCCTCACCTTTCCAGACCTCGCCTCACCTCTCCTCACCTCACCTCTCCTCACCTCACCTCTCCTCTCCTCACCTCACTCACCTCACCTCACCTCACCTCACCTCACTCACCTCACCTCACCTCACCTCACCTCACTTCACCTCACCAACTTAAATACCCCTGGACACATGTTTCTCAGTTGCGTAACTGAAAGACCCTCCCACAAAACGCCCCGAGCCCACCATTTTCACCAGCACCACAACCCACCTCACTTGAAGCAGCACCACAACCCACCTCACTTGAAGCAGCACCACAACCCACCTCACCTTTCCACGAGCTCTGCCAGAGAATCCTGGAGCCAGAAGCTGGGACCAGCGAGACAGCGATGGAAGCAGCACCTGACTGCACCGCAGTGAACCTGACAGCATCTAGGCTTACCTTTCCACAAGCTCTGCCAGAGATTCCTGGAGCCAGAAGCTGGGGTGCGCAAGACAGCGACACTTGAATCCCCTCATGTACAGCTGCGCAGGGAGGGAGGGGAGTGGAGGAGGAGAAGGGAGGGAGGGGAGACGGGGGGAGAGGGGAAAAGAGGAACGTGCAAGACATTGACACATAAATCCCCGCATCGCATGTACAGCTACGCAGGGAGGAGAGGCACGTGACAAAACAAGTGTTTTGAGATGTCTCAAACACTTCTATCACGAGGAATGTGCAAGACATTGACACATAAATCCCCGCATCGCATGTACAGCTACGCAGGGAGGAGAGGCACGTGACAAAACAAGTGTTTTGAGATGTCTCAAACACTTCTATCACGAGGAATGTGCGAGACGTTGACACATAAATCCCCGCATCGCATGTACAGCTACGCAGGGAGGAGAGGGAGGGGAGGTGAGGTAAGGGGAAAAGGGTAGAAGAGGGGAGAAGGAAAGGGAGAAGAGGAGAGGAGAGGAGAGGAGAGGAGAAGAGAGGAGAGGAGAGGAGAGGAGAGGAGAGGAGAGGAGAGGGGAATAGAGGAGAGGAGAGGATTGTTGACGAGATTAGCTTTGCCCTCGCTTGGGCAAAAGTCGGCAACCGGCTTGGTGAATCCTTACCCGTGGGGGGTCGGGTCAGGTCGGGTCGGGTCGGGTCGGGTTGGGTCGGGTCGGGTCGGGTCGGGTCGGGTCGAGCTGGACGGGTCAAGCCCACTGGAGAAGCGACCCGACCCAGCCAAAACCCTGGGTCGGGTGATTCGACCTGACTCGACCTGACCTGATCTGTTTCGTTCACGCCTAAATCGAACACATGTAGCATGGCAACAAAATTGGCAGCCCGACGTTCCTCCCGCACGGTCTACTCCCGCATGGTCTACTCCCGCACACTCTCACTTGATGCAGCAGCAGCAGGTGTAGTGTCACACACACACTCATTTCATTGAGCAGCAATGACGTGTCATAGAAGCCGTAGATGGTGTGAGAGAGAGGGTGAGCGGACTAGCAAGCAAGCAGGCGCCACAGTGCCACACGAAGCAAGCAGGTGTAGTGTCACACACACACTCACTTCATAGAGCAACAGGGGCGTGTCATAGAAGCCGTAGATGGTGTGATTCCCCACAAACAGCACACTGCGATTGGGATGCTGGGCCTGCTGGTGGTGCGAGGACGGGGACCAGCGAGGGCGGAACAGAGAGGGCGGGACAGAGAGGGAGGGGCGGAGAGGGAGGGGCAGAGAGGGAGGGGCAGAGTGGGCGGGACAGAGAGGGAGGGGCGGAGAGGGAGGGGCAGAGAGGGAGGGGCAGAGTGGGCGGGACAGAGAGGGAGGGGCGGAGAGGGAGGGGCGGAGAGGGAGGGGCAGAGTGGGCGGGACAGAGAGGGAGGGGCGGAGAGGGAGGGGCGGAGAGGGAGGGGCAGAGAGGGTGGGACAGAAAGGGAGGGACAGAGAGGGCGGGACAGAGAGGGAGGGGCAGAGTGGGCGGGACAGAGAGGGAGGGGCAGAGAGGGCGGGACAGAGAGGGAGGGGCGGAGAGGGAGGGGCAGAGAGGGCGGGACAGAAAGGGAGGGACACAGGGGGGGTGACAGACAGCGGAGGAAGGAGAAAGGAGAATGGAGTCGGGTAAGAGAGTGCGAATCAGTAGATGCCGTGCGTCAGGCAGCAAACAGCACGCTTCAATCAAGTCACAATTGAGCTGAGACCAGCGGATAGCGGAGACAGAAGGAAGAAAAGAAGACTGGCAGGGAGGAATGACATGGCGAAGGGTAAAGGACAGTCACAGGAGAGAGCAACTTTTGAGACGTCTCAAAAGTCGTTTTGAGACGTCTCAAAAACAGTCACAGGAGAGAGCAACGACTCATAGGCGAGGACACGGAGTGCGTGTACTGAGAATGTTGGAAGTCAGGAGGTTCTTGAGAGTGCAGTGCGTTTTATTCAGAGTGCAGTGCTTGTGAATGGGAATTTTGTACCTCTTGCTGCACGAGCTGCAGGTTGCCTTCGCCCACCACCAGTGGCGACACCAGCGTCTGGAGCAGCGAAGGGCATGCAATGGGATGGGATCATGGGAGGGCCGTTCGGGTGAGTACAGAGAGGAGTGTGGGCTCAGCAAGAATGCTATTTGGGCACTTTTAGTTGGTGTATCAACGCTTTCCCCTTTCCAGTTCTTTCCCCCTCCCTTCCACTTTCCACCCAGCCCCTTCTACCCACAACCCTTCCACTCCACCCACCCGCTTCGCCCAACCTCCTCATACAGCTGCTACAGCTCCCTCCCTCTCAACTGCTTTCCATCCACCTACCTGCCTTCCATTCACCCTTCCTTCACCTATCCCCCTCTACATTTACCCCTTTCCATCCCCCCCTCCCTCCCACCTACCCGCCACGTGTCCATGCTTCGCCCAACCTCCTCATACAGCCGCTCCAGCTCCCTCCCCCTCAGCTGCCTCCCGCTCTTCCTTTTCCTCCTCCTCCTCCTCGCTTCACCTTGCCGTCTCTCCCCCTCACCGTCTCCTTCGCCCCTCCCACTCCCATCCTCTGTACGATCCCCCATCTTCTGCCCTTCAACTGCCTGCAAGTCCTTCTGCTCTCGCAGAGGAGCTTCAGACCCCCCAGCTCCCCCACCTCCCCGCAACGCCTGGGTCGGAACAGCTGCAGAAGGCTCCCCTCCTGCTACCTCCTCTCCTTCTCGCCCAATGAGGGCCGCCTCTCCGTCTCGTCCAATCACACCCTCCTGTGCCTCTCGCTGAGTGGCTGCCTCGTTGCTGTTCGCAACAACCGAACGCTCGCCACGCTCGCGTGGCAGCGCGTGATTGGTGGGAGCGAAGCCGTGAGTGGCGAGGATGGCAGCAATGTCCACGTCAGCCTCCAGGAGTACTGTGTGGCCACTGAGAGGGGATGAGGGGTGGAGGGAAAGGGGAGAAGAAACAGAAGAGTGAGGTTTGATTGATTAGCCACACGAGGGAGAGACTAGGAGATGAAGGATGGCCTTCATCCTTCATCCTGTCGATGTGGCGGTGCTGTGGCAGTGATGAAGGATGGCGTGGCGGCACATCATGTTAGAAGAGAGAGAATTGATGCATTACAAAATGAGCCAAGAGGCCTTTTAGTACAAACAATGAGCAAGTGAGAGATGAGAGGGAAGCTTACCCTATTGGCCAATAAGTTGGCCAATGGGTGAGCTTGCTTGTGGCCCAAGCAACCACAAATGTGTGTTGGTTGGGATTGGTTGAGCTAAAGACCAATCCCAACCAACCACAAAATGTGGTTGGAGGGTACACTAAGCAACCCCCCAATTTATAAATGTGCTACACTTCTAGCCTATGCATGTTGTATAAAATATGAAATTACAACACAACCCCCCAACATGCATAAGGCTAGAAGGCCAGAATCAAGAGGCGGGCGGCGACTTTGGAGGAGTGAGGCCAAGGAGACGAAGGAGTGAAGAGTGAGCCGCGTGAGGAAGAGCTTTTGTGAAAATGTCGGCAAGGTTGGCCGCCGAGTCAACCTTGTCGAGCCGAAGGTGCCCCGCCTGAACAAGATCGCGAATGAAGAAATGACGGAGTTCAATGTGCTTGGAGCGCCCGTGAAACACAGCATCCTTAGTGAGGTGAATGGTACTGGCATTGTCACACCAGATGGTGGGACAGCGCTGGGGGGCACCAAGTTCCTCAAGAAGGAAGGTGAGCCAGCGGGCCTCTTGCGCAGCCATGATGGCGGCATACAACTCCGCCTCGCAGGAGGAGAGGGCGATAGCCGAGGAGCGAGTGGAGCGCCAGCTGATAAGGCCGCTGCCAAGAGAGAAGCCATAGCCCTGGGAGGAGCGACGATCCAGCCGGGAATCAGCCCAGGAGGAGTCACTGTAGCCGCTGAGGAGAGGTGGGGAGGGGCCGCCAAGGGTAAGGACATAGTCCTTGGTGCCACGAAGGTACCGGAGGACACGCTTGGCGGCCTGCCAGTGCTCTTCCGTATGCTTGCCTGCGCCAACAAAACGGGCAAGGACGCTGATGGGGTAGGCAAGGTCAGGGCGAGTGGAAACCATGGCGTACATGAGGGAGCCGATGAGCTCTGGATAAGGATGAGAGGAGGTTGAGGGGGAGGTGGGTGGAGAGAGATGGTGCCCGACAGAAAGAGGAGTATGTTGGGCACCGCCCCGGGCCATGTCAAACCGCTCCAAGACCTGCTGCAAGTAATGACCCTGGGAGAGAGAGATGGTGCGGGCGGAGCGGTCGCGGGTGATGGTCATGCCCAGGTAATGCTGCAGCTCTCCCAAGTCCTTGCACTTGAGTCGGCTACCCAACTCAGCCTTAACACGCTCCAACTCAGCAAGGTCGGCGGTGAGCAGAATCATGTCATCGACATACACAAGGATGTAGAAGGGGGAGGGGGAGGTGCGGAGGAAGAGGCTGGCGTCGGAGCGGGAGGTGCGAAACCCAAGTTCAGCAAGGGTGGCGGCAAGCTTAGCATGCCACTCCCTAGGGGCCTGTTGGAGCCCATACACAGGTCGACGCAACTGCCAGACAGAGTCTGCTGGGAAGGGAAGGTGAAAGCCGGCTGGACGCTCCATGTAGATAAGCTCGCGGAGGACGCCTTGTAGGAAGGCGTTAGAAACGTCCATCGAGTGGATCTCCATATTGAGGCGAGCGGCGAGGTCGAGCACGGCGCGAACAGTAGCAGGCTTGGCAGTAAAGGAGAAGGTATCGAAGAAGTCAAAACCATACCGCTGCGTGAACCCCTTGGCGCAGTAACGAGCCTTTTAGACGGGCGGCTCCCCTGGCAGCTGCTTGACGCGAAACACCCACTTTCCTTTCACCACGTTCGTAGGGGCGGGAGGGCGAGGCACATCGACAAAAGAGGAGTTGCCGATAAAGGCCTCCAGCTCCTTGATGATGGCGGCGAGCCATAGCGGAGCGTCAGGGCACGCCATTGCCTCCTCGTACGTGGTAGGAACGAAAATGGAGGGAGCAGAGGAGAAGGCGAAGACAGGTGTGCCGGAGAGGTCGAACGTGATGGGTAGAAGCGAGGGGTCATAAAGGTGGAGGTCAAGGAACTCCTCATGGGAGTCCTCAGAGAGGGAGGTGTGGAAGGCGCGGATGACTGCTGGTGCCGCTGCTGGTGCTGCTGGTGGAGTCGCTGCCGGTGCCGCTGCTGGTGCCGCTGCTGGTGCCGCTGCTGGTGCCGCTGCTGGTACTGTTGCTGGTGCTGTTGCTGGTCCGGCTGCAGCTGCGGCTGCTGGTGCTGCTGCTGTTGCCGCTGCTGGTCCCGCCGCTGCTGCCGCTGCTGGTCCCGCTGCTGCTGACGCTGCTGGAGCCGCTGCTGGAGCCGCCGCTGGGGCCGCTGCTTGTGCCGCTGCTGGAGCCGCTGCTGGTGCCGCTGCTGGAGAGGAGGTGGCTGAGGGGGCTGTTGCATGAGGGGCTTGATGCAAGACAGCCTGGAAGAAGTGACGAAGGAGGGGGGAGAGAGGGGGGAGGGTAGAGGTGGAGAGGGTAATGGGAGGCGGTGCACCAAGGATGCTGTCACGTGACCTGGTGTTGGGATACCGGGTGAGTATGGTGCGGGAAGGGGGAGGACGGGTCGATGGCGAGGGAGAGGAAGGGGGGGGAAGGGGGGCACTAGGAGAGGAGTGAGCGGGGGAGACAGGAGAAGATAAAGGTTCCGGGTCAAAGGTGTCACCAGATGAGGGAGGGGTACCGTGGGACTGGGACGTCGGAGGGGGGGGGGGGGGGAGGATGGGGGGAGGAGGGAGTAGTGGGGGAGGGGTGGTGTCAGACCAGACAAGGGGACGGGTGAGAGGGGGGAGTGGGTCAGTAGATGTAGGAGAGGAGTAGTAGGGAGTAGACTCGTCAAAGACCACATCCCGGCTGCGGATTAGACGACCGGATGGGGGGTGGAGGAAAAGGTAGTCGGGGGAGGAGGGATTATGACCAAGGAAGATGCAAGGAAGGGTACGAGGGGCAAGCTTTCCCATGGAACGGGAGCGGTCAGAGGGGTGAATGAGGACATGTGCCTTAGAGCCCCAGACACGAAGTGATGAGGCATCAGGCTTGTCCTTCGTCCACAGCTCAGTGGGGGTGATGGAGGGGAGAAGGGGGTGAGGGTAAAGGTTAGTAAGGAGGGTGGCATGAAGGAGGGCATAGCCCCAAAGAGAAGGGGGGCAGGAAGCGTGGACAAGCAGACACCGGGCTGTTTTGGTGATCTCTCGAACACGACTCTCAGCCACGCCGTTCTGCTGTGGGGAGTGAGGGAGGGTGTAAGTCTGAAGGATGCCACGAGACTGACAATAGGAGGAGACTTGGTTGTTAAGGAACTCACCACCTCCATCAGAATGAAGGCGGCGAACAGGGCGCCAAAAATGGGTGTTTGCCCGCTCGAGCCAGGCGATGATCGCAGCCGGGGCATCCGCCTTCGTCCGAAGGAGAGAGACGGACGAGTACCGACTGTGATCATCAACAAGCACGAGAAGGAAGCGATGGCCCTGGCGCGTGGGAGAGGGATTAGGGCCCCACAGGTCCATGTGAACAAGATCAAGTGGCTGCGCAACAGCGGAGGGGGAGCTCCGGTGCGGATGCTGCTTGAGCTTGCTCTGAACGCAGACGGTGCAGGGGGGTGCAGGGGATTTGGGGAGGGGAGGGAGGGAGCAGGGGAGACCGTGGAGGAGACCGGAGGAGACAGAGGAGCGGAGAGTAGCGAAGTTGGGGTGGCCTAGCCTGTGATGGAGGAGGATGGTGGGGTGGGAGAGGGAGCGACAGGAACAGTTAGAGTCAGGAGGGCGGGGGGGTAGGGGTGGGTTAGTGGGAGGGACGGGAGGGGGGGGGGGAAGGAGGGGGGGGGAGGCAACTTGGAAGGTGAGGGGGCGGGGAACCCGAAGGGTGTATAGACGGGAGCGGGGACATTAGGGAATACGGGCGAGAAAACGACCTGTGGAGGTTTGGTATAGGTCACAATGGTTAGCACCACCTGGGATGAGAGTGGTGATCATGGCTTGTTGGAGGGACCTTTGGGAGAGGAGGTTAGTACGAAGGGAGGGAATGTGGAGACCGGTGACAGTACCTGAGGGAAAGAGAGGACAGGGAAGGGTGGAGGTGTTGTGACAAGGGATGGAAAAACTGCTATCAGCGCCGAGGAGGGAGGTTGGTGTGGGGAGAGGGCGCAGTGTACCAGCGTCACGAAGGACAGTGTCAGTGGCTCCACTGTCCAAAACGAAGTCAATGGTGGAGGAAGGTGAGGCAGAGTACTGGAACGAAGTTTCATTAGCAGAAGAAGGGTACATGGGAGATGCAACAGATTCAGGTTGACCTAATAAACCAACAAAACCAGAGGAAGGGAAAGCGGTCACACTGCCACCTGCAGACGGCGCCGGGGATGCACCCGAGAGATGGGCTGCAGAGGCAGCACTCCCAGCAGTCCAGGTAGGGAAGGGCTGCTGCTGGGAAATGGGAGGAGGAGGGAGGAGGGGCAGCTGCGGCTGTAGGTCGAGCTGCTGCTGGAGATGCTGGAGCTGCTGCTGGAGCTGAGAAAGGAGAAGCTGCTGCCCAAACTGCTGTGACCCCTGCTGCTGACTCCCGGGCTGCTGCTGCTGCTGCTGCTGCTGGGGAGGGGCGAGAGCCTGATGGGCCTGGGTGGAGGAAGGTTCATAGAGGGGAGAGGAACGGACCTCAAGGGGAGTGGGGCGAGGGTTGATGACGGACCAGCGAGGAGGGGTGCCGGTGTTGCCACGGGCAAACCACTCATCACTGAGTGCCTTGAAGCACGTCTCAGTGGCATGAGTGGTTTGGCCGCAGCGCTGTCCCTGAGTGGGACCGTAGCGAGGCAGGTACTGACAGGGAGGAAAGGCAGCTGCTGCACCACGACCCGCACTACCGCTACTCGTGCCACCGCGACCCGCGGATCCGCCTCGTCCACCCCCACGCCCACCACCACGCCCACCCCCACGCCCACCGCCACGTCCACCCCGGCTGCTGCGCGACTGGGCTGCTGCAACTGTGGAGGAAGAGTGGCGAAGGATCTCAGCTTCGGTGGTGATAATCCACTGAGTGACTTCGGTAGGGGTGTGGTGCTTGGAGATAAGCTGCATGTAAGCAAGCTTGTGAGCGTCGAAGGCAGGTGTGAGGCCCTCGAGGAGGTGGCAGCAGATGACGGTGTCCGGGTACACCACATCGAGTGCTGCAAGGCGCCGAGCAAGGTCTAAGACACGGCGAGTGAAAGCAGCTGCGCCAGAAGTGGAATCCATGGAGAGAGTTCCAAACTCCTTGATAAGGGCGTAAAGAGTGGTAACGTCCTGCCGATCGAAAAGGTCGACCAGCAGTCGCCACAGGTGGGAGGAGGAGGTAGGTGAGAGCTCGCGTTTGAGGGAGGAGGGGATGGTGGCGAGAAGAATGGCAAGCGCGCGTCGATCAGCAACCCGCCAGGCAGTAATTTTCGTGGTGTAGTCTGCAAGTTCTGCAGTGTAGGTGTCCAGGTCCTCCTGGTACTTGTTATAGCGGGCAGCGGCGTCGTCATAGATGCGCGTGTCGTCCTCGTAGCGCAATTGCAGGCGCAGGTGCTCTTGGAGATTGGTGCGGTAGGTGCGAATGGCGGTTTCCGAGCTCTGCGGGTCGTTGACATTCGGCGCAAAGGTGGGAGGATCACCGGGGGGAGGGGGTTCGGCGCCAGGGTGGGCAGGGGCAGGTCCAGTAGGAGCGGTGGGGGCCACGGGCTGAAGTCCACCACCTTCCTGAAAGACAACCGAGCGAAGGTTGTAGCCGCTGACCACAACAGAGGAGAGGAGCACCTCGACGGAATGAGCATAAGAGTGCCAATTAGCAGCAGAGTTGTCAGGCAGCAACTCGAGTGCGTCAACAGTGGCAAGGTCGACGGAAGAATCGGACGACGATGCCATAGAGATGAGGGTGGGCAGAGGCTAGGGCAAGAGGAGGATGGTGCGAGGGTACCGTTGCCAGTGCTGCTGCTGGCCCTGCTGCCCGTGCCGCTGCTGGTTCTGCAGCTGGTGCCGCTGCGGATGCTGCTGCGGGTAGGATGGGAGGAGGAGAAAGGGAGGAGCGGAGGGTGGGGAAGGTGGAGGAGGAGGAGGGCGATGCTATGGGGGATGCAAGGGGGGAGGGTGCTGCTCGTGGTGCCGCTGCAGGTGCTGCTGCTGGTGCTGCTGCAGGTAGGATGGGAGGAGGAGGACGGTGGAGGAGGAGGGCGATGCTATGGGGGAGGCAAGGGGGAAGGGTGCTGCTGGTGGTGCCGCTGCTGGTGCTGCTGCTGGTAGGATGGGAGGAGGAAGGGAGGAGCGGAGGGTGGGTTGGGTGGAGGAGGAGGAGGGCGATGCTATGGGGGAGGAAAGGGGGGAGGGTGCTGCTGGTGGTGCCGTCGAGATGCCGCTGATGATGCTGCTGCAGGTATAATGGGAGGAGGAAGGGAGAGAGGGGGGGGGGGGGAAGGCGATGCTGCGGGGGGGGGGGGAGGGAGAGGAGGAGGGCAGCCGTGCGGCAGATCCGCGCGACTGGGAAGCCCGTGGCGAACGCACGCGGGACAGCCCGCGGCAAACGAGCGGGACGTGCAGAGATGGGCGCGAAATGGTCAGATTTCAGCGCAGGAGATGCAGATCTGGTCGCGCGGAGTGCAGATCTGGGCGGGCGGAGGGCAGATCTGGGCGGGCGAAGTGCAGATCTGGGCGCGCGGAGTGCAGATCTGGGCGGGCGGAGTGCAGATCTGGGCGCGCGGAGTGCAGATCTGGGCGGGCGGAGTGCAGATCTGGGCGCGCGGAGTGCAGATCTGGGTGCGAAATGTTCAGATCTGGGCGCGGGAGGAGATCTGGTGGCGCGGAATCCAGATTAGGGCGCGGAATGATCAGATCTAGGCGCGGGAGGAGTAGATCTGGTCGCAGGGAGTGCAGATCTGGGCGCTGGAGATGCAGATCTGAGCGCGGGGAGTGCAGATCTGGGCGCTGGAGATGCAGATCTGAGCGCGGGGAGTGCAGATCTGGGCGCTGGAGATGCAGATCTGAGCGCGGGGAGTGCAGATCTGGGCGCTGGAGTTGCAGATCTGAGCGCGGGGAGTGCAGATCTGGGCGCTGGAGTTGCAGATCTGAGCGCGGGGAGTGCAGATCTGGGCGCTGGAGTTGCAGATCTGGACGTGCCTTGGAGGGCAGCGCCTTAGGGGGCGCACGGGGAGGGAGGACAGCGCCTAAAGGGCGCGTGAAGGGAGGGCAGCTCCGTGGGTGGGGCTAGATCTGAGGAACGGGGAGGAGAGGGTGGCCTAAGGACCGAGGGAGGAAGGCGTGAGCCATTAGCTCTGATACCATGTTAGAAGAGAGAGAATTGATGCATTACATAATGAGCCAAGAGGCCCTTTAGTACAAACAATGAGCAAGAGAGAGATGAGAGGGAAGCTTACCCTATTGTCCAATAAGTTGGCCAATGGGTGAGCTTGCTTGTGGCCCAAGCAACCACAAATGTGTGTTGGTTGGGATTGGTTGAGCTAAGGACCAATCCCAACCAACCACAAAATGTGGTTGGAGGGTACACTAAGCAACCCCCCAATTTATAAATGTGCTACACTTCTAGCCTATGCATGTTGTATAAAATATGAAATTACAACACAACCCCCCAACATGCATAAGGCTAGAAGGCCAGAATCAAGAGGCGGGCGGCGACTTTGGAGGAGTGAGGCCAAGGAGACGAAGGAGTGAAGAGTGAGAAGAGCAAGGGGTGGAGAAAGAGGCGAGAAAGGGGCACTATTGGAGGGGAGGGTTACCTGGTGGAGAGGATTACCTGGAGGGGAGGGTTACCTAGTGGGGAGGGTTACCTGGTGGAGAGGGTTATCTGGTGGGGAGGGTTACCTGGTGGGGAGGGTTACCTGGTGGGGAGGGTTACCTGGTGGGGAGGGTTACCTGGTGGGGAGGGTTACTTACTGAAGAAAATTAATTACCTAGTGGGGAGGATGACTCGTTTGCTGTTTGGCAGCAGGTTGAGCAGTCGGCCTGTCTCTGCCACTGCCGGCAGCACCCTGTCCTTTGATGAGGCCACCTGGTGGCATGGCAGGGGAGTAAGATAGGAATAGACGAATGGAGGTGTGGTGGAGGGGCAGAGGTGGTTTTTGAGGCGCCTCAAAAACCACCTCAAGGCAGGGGAGTAAGATAGGAATAGACGAATGGAGGTGTGGTGGAGGGGCAGAGGTGGTTTTTGAGGCGCCTCAAAAACCACCTCAAGGCAGGGGAGTAAGATAGGAATAGACGAATGGAGGTGTGGTGGAGGGGCAGAGGTGGTTTTTGAGGCGCCTCAAAAACCACCTCAAGGCAGGGGAGTAAGATAGGAATAGACGAATGGAGGTGTGGTGGAGGGGCAGAGGTGGTTTTTGAGGCGCCTCAAAAACCACCTCAAGGCAGGGGAGTAAGATAGGAATAGACGAATGGAGGTGTGGAGGGGCGGAGGGATGAGTGCGGCAATAACCCTCCTGGACGCAACGCAACGCAAGCAAGCGCACCTCAGCCACTCACGACTTTCTGCTTTACTGTGGGTCCGCCCCTCGCTCATCCCTCTACCACGTTAGAACTTCAAGTTGCTCCCGCGACACATTCTTACCAGCTAGATTGCCCGTACCTGCTTGCAGCTGGTTGAGCGGAATTAGTTTTTTTAGTATTCTCAAGTATTTTCAAAAGCCGGTTTGCGGCTGGTTCAACAGAACCAATTTGAAAACTCCACACGGGAAAGATAGGCAGTGGGGATGACAGTCAGCACAGGCCTAGTTGGCTATTGGTTAACTCAACTCAATCTCTGAGTCGATTCAATCTGAAGCACGCAGCAGGGTGGTACCAGCAAGGTGGGCGTGGGGTGGGGACTTTTGAGACGTCTCAAAAGTCAATGGGCGTGGGGTGGGGATGGAGCGCAGCACGGCTGCACGGCATCAGACAGCCCATACTGGTCGTTGAGCCGACTTCAGAGTTTGAGTCGTTTCAATGCTTGACTCATTTTAATCTTTAAGACTCAAACACAGCGGCGTACCAGCAGGGTGGGCGCGTGGATGGAGCGCAGCACGGCATCTGACAGCCCAGACTGGTCGTTCAGCAGGGACAGCCGCTGATATAGGCGCCTCTAAAGTGGACCACTCACTCCCTGCTGCCACACCCTACTCTACCATGGTCAAGAGTCCTCCTACCAGCAGGGTGGGCGCGTGGATGGAGCGCAGCACGGCATCAGACAGCCCAGACTGGTCGTTCAGCAGAGAGAGCCGCCACGACGCACACGCCGCCGGCACGTAGTCGATGGGAGACAGCACGCGCAGTGACGCCTCCCCTCCTCCCACGCTAGTGCCGGCTGCTGCTGCAGCAGGTTGGACCCGGCTTCGCTTCACCAGCAGAGGCAGCGCCACGTCCTGGCATGTGAGGGCAGGCAGGCACACGGAATGAGAATTTTGTCGGATAAACGCCTTCTGGGGCACCGCAAAAGTCCTGGCATGGCATGACGGGCAGGCAGGCACACAGGATGATTTGTACAAGAGTGGATTTCGTTGGAAAAAAACCGTCTGGGGAAGGGTGCATTGAAGAAGTGAGGGCAGGCAGGCACACGGAACGAGAATTCTGAGGTTGCATAATTCGGTGTTGTGGGCTTTGCTTTGTGTGTTTGTGGAGGTCGGAAACGAGTGGGGAGGAAACGAAGTGGGGAGGAGAATCTTTAACGCATTAGGGAGCAAGGAGAGCAAGTGATAAGAGCACGCAGGAGAGAGGGAATGAAGGGCGCGGAGACTGGATGTGACCTGGGCGAATTCGTAGAGCGGCGGCGGGAAGAAGGCAAGCAGGCCCGTGGCAACACAGAGGCTGACGAGCGGGTTGTTGGTGGGGAAGGCCGTTGCTGGGTTGATCTGCTTGGCACGAGGTTAGAAGGGCAGGTGTGGGGGAAGGGGACGAGGGAACGAGGGGAGCGAGGGGGCACATGAAAAGGGCAGGAGAGGCTGACGAGCGGGTTGTTGGTGGGGAAGGCCGTTGCTGGGTTGATCTGCTTGGCACGGGATGGTGATGAGTGGCATGGCATCAGTGGTGTGCAAGGGGCGAAGGGGCACGGGGGAAGGGGACAAGGGCGCAAGGGGGAAAAGGGGAAGCGGCCAAAGAAGGAAGGGGGTAAAAGGGGGAGGAAGAAGGGAGATGAGAGGGATGGTAGCGGGTGTGCGACCGGCCCAGCATGCATGATGCTAGAATGGAGACCCACTGGGAACTGGAAGAACAGACACAGTCACTCACACAGGGGCAGCAGATTTTTGAAAATTCTCAAAAACCGGCCCAACATGCATAATGTTAGAAAAAAGACCCGCTGGGAACCGGAAGAGCAGACACAGTCACTCACACAGGGGCAGCGGTTACAGGGGCAGCGGACGAAGGTGCGAGGAAAGAGAGCCAGATGGGAAAGGAGCATCGAAACTACCAAAACGCGTGGGGCAGGCAGCGGAGGAGGAAAGGCAGGCAGCGGAGGAGGAAAGGCAGGCAGCGGAGGAGGAAAGGCAGGCAGCGGAGGAGGAAAGGCAGGCAGCGGAGGAGGAAAGGCAGGCAGCGGAGGAGGAAAGGCAGGCAGCGGAGGAGGAAGCAGCCGGAGGAGGAAAGGCAGGCAGCGGAGGAGGAAAGGCAGGCAGCGGAGGAGGAAAGGCAGGCAGCGGAGGAGGAAATGCAGGCAGCGGAGGAGGAAATGCAGGCAGCGGAGGAGGAAAGGCAGGCAGTGGAGGAGGAAAGGCAGGCAGCGGAGGAGGAAATGCATCTCACTCACGAGCACGAGGCGGCCGCGGTGCAGCAGGCCGGGGTTGGCAGCAGCAATGCGCAGAGCCAGGCACGCCCCAAACGACTCCGCCATCACCGTCACCTCCCGCGCTCCCTCCCGTGCTGCCTCCCTGCCCCTTCTGTCCCCACTGGCCCCCCGCTCCTCGGCGTCCTCCTCATTGGCTGCCTGCTGTATGAGCGGTGCGACTCGGCGAACCAGCTGCCGCCACGTGGAGCGGTCGGACATGGGGATGTAGAGGGCGCGGATGTCGAAGCTGGGGGGGGAGGGGAAGAGCATGGTTGGGGGGGGAAGAAGGGGAGAGGGGGAGTCAACGAAAGCTAATAGGAATGTACTCGTGTTGCGTGGAGCGGTCGGTGGTGGGGATGATTTTCGAGGCGCCTCAGAAAGCTAGTAGGAATGTACTCATGTCGCATGGAGTGGTGGGTGGTGGGTGGTGGGTGGTGGGTGGTGGGTGGTGGGTGGTGGGTGGTGGGTGGTGGGTGGTGGGTGGGGATGTAGAGGCGCGGATGTGAAAGCTGGATGGCGGAAGGCGGGCGTACAGGGGGAGGGGGAGGGGATCAAGGGGCGGGAAAGAGGGAGCAGCAAGCAGCCATCCTACAGGCCAGCCAGCCAGCTGGCAGACGAATCCAACGTGCAAGATGATTGAAGGCACCCAGCTTTGCTGCGTGTTCAGAACTCCCACACCTAACACACTCCCATCCAATCACACACCTAACACACTCCCATCCAATCACACACCTAACAGTAACACACACACGTACCCAGCACGTGTCAGAGATTTGATTTGGGGCTGCAGGCACTGCCCGGAGCCGTCCATTCCTGGCAGATACACCAACAGCGGCCGCCCAGAAGCTGCACCTGCCGGGAAACCGGACAGCTCCTGAAGCCGAAGGAGACGAATCTCCCCGCCCAGTCCCGTGAAATCCGGAACAGGACACGCTGGCGACACGTCATCTAAATCCGACTCTGACCAATAAGGAGATGACAGTAATGATGACTGTGATGATGATACCGATGATGCTGGTGGTGAGGGTGACACTCTCCCTGATGGCACCAGGCTATCCCCGTTTGTGTCAGTCCCGTTTTCGTTGGTTGCCCTGCATTTGGCCGAGCCACGCCCTGTGCTGCTGTTAACGGCCCCGCTTGCAAATAAACAGCCTCTTCGCTGCATGAATGGCGCGGTGTAAGGCGAGCCTTTCGGAGACGGGAATTCATTGTAGCGGAGCAATCTAAAACGCGAACGAATATCCACGTCTTGATGTTTTCCTATCGCTACCGACGGAGTAACAGACTGGCCAATGGCGAAGAGACAGCTGCCGGACGAAAACATACGCGTGCAACGAGGGAGCTCGTGCCATGCTGAGGCGTCACGACGGCACGTCACGCGACTACGGGTGAGGGGGGAATGAACGAGATCGTTGGCGCGGTGAGACGGAGGGATGGGCGGCGCGGAGGTGCGTGGTGGCGCGACGAAGATTGATTCCGTGGCCATGACCCGCGGTTCGCCGCAACGCAGTCCTGAGAGCAATTCGCAGTACAGTCGCGCGAGCAATTCGCAGTACAGTAGTGAGAGCGCTTCGCAATGCAGTTGTGAAGGCAATAGGCAGTACTGGTATCCGTCACGCGAGAACGGAAAACGAATAGGCCGTTCGGGAGGCTTATCTGGGGCCGCGTTGAGCCATGGCGGAAGAGCGAACACAATTGGGCTTCGCCTAGCCTAAGGGCGTGTAAGATCTCCAACCTGTTCACGTTCTGTAGTGTTACGAGTGCAATTGACTGATCGAACGAGAATTGCACTATCGGAGCAAGAGTACAATGAGCGAAGGCATCAGCGAAGAATATATAGCGAAACTACGGTGGTAACGGTAATGAACTGTGGGTGATGCGCGACGGGCCTGGAACTGAGGTTGGGACTGTGGTTTGGAAATGTCGAGGCGGAGGCCCGGAGCGCGGGTTACCCGCCGAGCCGTGAGGTCGGGGTGCGACGTGCGAAAGTGGCGGGAGGATTGTCGATGCGAGGGTTGCGAGTGGTAACGGTGCTGACTGTGGTGCTACGGTGATGTACGCGCTGAGCAGGGGCGCGAAGTAAGGAAAAGGAATTTTCCTTACACTACCCCCCCCCCCCCCCCCCCCCCCCCTAAGGAGGCCCTCCTTACGAAAGTGCGTGTACATCCCGAAAATTTCGGCTGCGCAGTTGTCTTCGGTGGGTGTACGGTCTCTCCAGCGGATCAGGAATTCGATCCTTCGAGCTCCTCGTGGGTCACGAACTCGGTGGCTCAGAATTTTCTCGGGCGTGATGATTGGCTCGGTCGGCGGTCGTGTCATGCTGGCTGGGCGGTTGCGGGGCAGTTGGCTGGTGGATGGTACCTAGGGGCGGAGCAGGCCGACGTGGAAGGACGGGCTGACGTACCAGTCACCAGGGAGGAGGAGATGGGCGGTGACGGGTGTGATCATGTAGCTGATGCGGAATGGCCCAAAATATCGAGGGCGGAGTTTTGGGGTAATGGGCAGGCGGAGGTTCTGGGTGTCGAGTAAAACTAGGTCGTCGGGCTGGTAAGTGACAGGTCGGCGGTGGCGGTCGGCGTTGCGTTTAGCGATAATGTTTGATTTTATGATCGCGTCTGCTGCTTGGGTCCGTGCTACTTGTAAAATTTCGGCGAACTGTTGCGCTCGTGGCACCGGGTTATCGGGATTCGGGGTCATGGGTACTGTCGGGTCTTGTCCGTAGTTCAGGTAAAACGGTAACCGTTGGGTTGTGGCGGAAGGCGAATTGTTGTACGCGAACTCGATGAGCGGTCTCGGAGTGGTACGAAGAATTGAACTGTAGCCGCGTGCCGAACTGCTGCCACAAGTTCCGCCAGAAGTTTCTGGTGAATTTTGTGTCGCGGTTGCAGATAATCGCTGCTGGTATCCCGTGCAGTCGAACGACGGTGGAGATGAAGAGGCGGGCTGTTTCTTCGGCTGTGATTGATTTCTTGCAGGCTGCGAAGTGTGCCATTTTCGCCAGTCGATCGACGACGACCAGGATCGCGTCGTTCCCACTCGCTCCGGCCGGTAACCTCGTGACGAAGTCCATCGTCACCTACTGCCAAGCACGCTCTGGGGGTGGTATCAGCTGTAACTGTCCTGCCGGCCGCTTCCGTGATGATTTCATGAGCTGGCAAGTGGGACACGATGCCACGTGTCGCTGTACGTCAATCAACATTTCGGGCCAGTAATAATACCGCTGCAGCTGCTGCCGTGTTTTCTCTACCCCGAAATGCCCCGAGGTACCTCCATCGTGTGCCTCTTGTAACAGTAATTCCCGTAGCAGTGTGTACCCTGGTACCCAGATGCGGTCGGTCCCGGCTTTTACGTAATAAACTCCTTTTGCTGTTGCGAACTGCTGCGAATCTCCTCCTGTGAAGAATGGATCTGTTTGGTACCCGTGGGTAAATAGTCCTATCAGTAGTAGGCTGGTCTGGGCAAGTAGTATTGCATGGATCTGGGCAGTGGGGCGGGTCAGTGCGTCGGCGATGTTTGATGCCCCCTTTTTGTAGGTGACTGTGTAATGGAAATTGGACTCGAGAAAATCGAGCCAGCGGATCTGTCGTGGGTTGAGGTGTGGCTGTGCGTGGAGGTACTGTAGTGATTTTTGGTCTGTCCGTACTGTCACGTCTGCGCCGGTCAAGTAACAGCGCCACACTTTGAATGCGTGCACGATCGTGAGCATTTCGCGGTCGTGTATCGGGTAATTTTTCTCAGGCAGATGCAGTTTTCGTGACTCGTATGCTATGGGCTGTAGGCCGTTGCCGAAGTCCTGTAGCAGTACGGCTCCAATGGCGATGTCGCTGGCGTCAGTAACTACTTCGAATGGGCGGTGTGGGTCGGCGATGCGCAGTACGGGCGGTGAACGGAGAACATTTTTCAGGGCAGAGAAGGCAGCCTGCTCTTTCTCCCCCATGTAAAAAACCCCTTGCGCAGTAAGTCCGTGAGCGGTGCTGTTAAGCGCGCCATGTCGGGGACGAACCGACGCACGTAATTTACAAAACCCAAAAAGCTCTGCAGCTCCGCGATATTCGTCGGGGGGTGCCACGCTTTTACCGTGTCTTTGGGTCAATTTCGACCCCAGCCTCCGAAATGACGTGCCCCAAAAACTCTAGCCTGTCCTGAAAAAACTCGCACTTGGAACCCTTTGTCAGTAGCCGATGCTCGTCTAAGATTTTAAACACTGCTTCAAGGTCTGCTAGGTGCTGCTGCTTGTCGCGACTGTAGACGAGGATGTCGTCGATGTAAACTATCACGCATTTATCTAAAAGTGGCCTAAACGCCTCGTTCATGGTCATCTGAAATGTCGCCGGTGCGTTGGTCAGCCCGAAGGGCATCACGATGTACTCAAACGACCCGTACCTAGTCCGAAAAGTTGTTTTGGCGCAGTCCGATGGTTCGACTCTAATCTGATGGTAACCTCCCCGTATATTTTCGAAAAAACGCGTGCTGTTCGCAGTTGGTCTATCAGTTCGTTAGCGCGGGGAATGGGGTATCACGACTTGATAGTTACCCTGTTCAGTGCTCTGTGATCTATGCACATGCGAATGTGAAAGTTAGAACGAGAATGGTAAACTAGGAAATGAGCTGGGTACAAATATGAAACCCTAGAAAGCTGTACCCCATACTGTCTACCCCACTTCAGCCTAGAAAGACTATAGCATATAAGTTCGACACACCCCCATAGGCAAAGTGGGGGAGAACAAGGGGTCACAAGACCAGTCAAGCAAAGCACAACAAGCTCAGGGTGGATCCCAACGTCACCACACATTCTGAGCGCAAGTTCAAGGGCCACAAGGCCAGTTCACATGCAATCATATATATATAAAGCTAAACATGCAAGTGCAAGTATATATAGGTCAAAGTACAAGCAAGGTCAAGAAGTGAGCAAGTGAGGCAAAGTAGGTACAAGACCTAACAGAGTACAGAAGCGCTGATGATCACAAGGCGCGAGTGCCTTGGTGAAGATATCAGCAGTGTTGGCCTGAGAGGCCACGTAAGCAAGTCGCAGCTGACCACGCTGCTGCAGCTCACGAGCAAGGAAGTAGCGAAGAGCAATGTGCTTCGTTCTGTGCTCCAGTCTGTGCTCCCGACACAAGGCCAGCATGGCCTTGTTGTCTACGTACAGAACTGGAGGCGAACGAGGCTGCTCTCCAAGGTCAGTCAGCAGGTAGGTGAGCAAGCGTAACTCCTGTGCAGCCATGGCCCCCGCGTAGATCTCAGCCTCACAACTGGAGCCGAGAACAGAAGACGAGCGGGTAGACCGCCACGAAACAGAGCCGGAACCAAGGCTGAAGGTGTAACCCTGTGACGACCGCTGCGTAGCCTGGTCGTCAGCCCAAGAAGCGTCTGCGTGACCAGTGAGGACCACTGGACTCCACCCTCCAAGCACAAGCCCCATGCCCGACGTACTGCACAAGTAGCGCAACACCCTCTTCGCTGCAGCCATGTGCTCTGGTCTGTGTCTCCCAGGAGCAACATAGCGTGCCAGAATGCTAAGAGGGTATGCAAGGTCAGGTCGAGTGCAGGTCATCAGGTACATGAGGCAGCCAACAAGCTCTAGGTACGGGCCACTCGACTCTACGGACTCATCCGAAGGCAGAGCTGAGAGCGAGTGGCGAGTAGACAGAGGAGTGGCCTGAGGCGAGGAGTACGTGAAGCCGAAGCGCTGAAGGACCTGCTGCACCATGTGTGACTGAGTCAGGTTAATGGTGCGCTGTGCTCTGTCCCGGGTGATCTGCAAGCCAAGGTAGCTGCGCAGTTCACCCAGGTCTGTGCACGTGTGTCTCTTCTGCAGCTCGGACTTCACGTGAGCGAGTCCAGCAGTGTCAGCTGTGGCAAAGACCAAGTCGTCGACGTACACGAGGATGTAGAACGGCGGCAAAGAAGTGTCGGTGCGCAGAAACAGCGACGGGTCGGCAGTAGAAGGAGCAAACCCAAGAGCCGCAAGTGTAGTCCTCAGTGTGTCGTGCCACTCACGAGGTGCCTGGCGGAGACCGTAGACTGGCCGCCGGAGGCTCCACTGGGTACCAGGAGGAAAAGACCCAGTGAAGCCAGGTAGGCGGCGCAGCCAAATCTCCTCGTGCAGGCTGCCCTGCAAGAAAGCAGTGCTGAAGTCAAGAGAGTGAAGCTCGTAGTCACGGTGAGCGGCTATGTGCAGCAGTACCCGAAGAGTGGTCATCTTCGGGGTGGGAGAGAAGGTCTGAAAGTAGTCAACTCCCTGCCGCTGACTGAAGCCACGAGCCACGTAACGCGCCTTGAAGACAGGCGGAGAACCCGGCGGCCGCTTCACCCTGAAAATCCACATGCCACTGACGATGTTCGCCCCAGGAGGGGGAACCTCGTCGACATAGGTGCCTGTGGACTTCCAGGAAGCCATCTCTGCATCCATGGCTGCCTGCCACTGAGAGGAGTAGGGACCCTCTATCGCCTCCGCGTAGGAGCGCGGAGTCGGGATGTCTAGTG